AAAAAGGCAGGTGAACGTGAAACTAATTAATTCCCTTGTCTTTCCCCACAGCTTTGAGGTTGTTGGCTATGGTTGCATGACGTGTATAGGCAACAGTGGGCCGCTCCCAGAGCCAGTGGTGGAAGCCATAACTCAGGTACCTGTGGTTTACATCCCTACTGTTTCACATCACCTCTGTTCCTCACTGATTCTCCTGAGGTTACTGGAAAACTGCAGCCACTAAAAGTCAACTGAGTGTAAATAAAAAGAAACATTCTAACTGATGAATACGCGTAATATTTAATATCTCACTCTTATAACACATATATTTGTGTTTCAGGGAGATCTGGTTGCTGCGGGCATCCTGTCAGGAAACAGAAACTTTGAAGGGCGAGTCCACCCCAACACCAGAGCAAACTACCTGGCTTCTCCACCACTCGTCATTGCTTATGCCATCGCCGGCACCGTGAGGATTGACTTTGAGAGGGAGCCCATTGGTGAGTTTTTAGACACCCAAAACACCCCCCCTCCTTTATTCTCACTTGTCAACGTAATGAATGATGTCAGGAGATTATCCAGAGTACAGTGCATGTCTGTAAGCAGCGTTGTACCCATCTAAAAACCAAAACACAGCCAGCCTCTGTGCTTTTCCATTAGACACTCTTAAGAGCCCATCATTAGCTGCTCATGGTTGGTTAGTTCTGACTAACAACACCACAGGCATACACGTCACTGTGCACGCTAGTTTCGCAGAGTGCTTATGGCCAATCATGCACACCACAGGGACTCAGCTGAAAACTGAGGATGTATTTTTAGACAATGCAGGCTTTTGAAGGCCAATACAACAGCTTAGAGCCGGTTCAGTGGTGATGCGCACATGTTTGGGAGGGAGGCGGTCTGAGTTACAGAGTTAAGTGCATTGTGAGAAAATCCAGCGAACTCTTGGGCCTGCAGTTTAAATCTTTCTTTCCAGCTGCACGAAATTCATTCAGACTCGTATCTGTCTCCCTTTTGCTCTCTCATGCTGACACACACACACATCAGACACTGTAAACTCAAACTCACTCAAAACCACATTGTTTGGTCTTAACTAACACAAATGACCTACATTTGAATTTGCATGTAGAGCAGGGAGGTGCGATCGGATCACAAGGGGTCACAGGACACACATTCAGGACGCATTTTAATGCCAAGTGTGAACACACGTTCTTAACGCTGGCCACATGTGATTGGATCTCTCAGGACGGATGTTAACATCATGTGTGTCCAGGCCCTTAACATAAATCAGGTCTTAAAGGACCACACAAGTGATTTTACACATTACAGTCAAATAATAGCATGTTATACATGTAGGTGGACATGTTAATCTATGTTTTTATTCTGCAACACAGTTCACAAACGTCCTCATTTGTCTCAAATTGTCTGATATCCAGCCACTCAGATATTAGCCACTGTGATATTAGCTCAGGCTTCTTAAAAGCCCACTTTCCTCTGATTGGGTCGGGGCCTGCTGAAGGGCAGCACAACCAGTGTTTATGAGCGCCACCTTACCCTCTCAGCAAAATGTAAAGCAGGGGTCACAAACCTTCTCGAGCCCAAGATCAGCGTGAGCCGAGATCTACCACCCTGATATCTTCCAAAAAACCCACTTAGGAGGGTCATATTTAATTTTTTTGCAAATTCTGTTAAAGGCTCAGTGTTCGAGCATAGATATACATAAAGAAAGGTAGTTACGCAACTTAATCTATTCAATGCACAATATTCAGCTCAGTTCAACAATATGTTCTGCAGAGGAACTGCTTCTGCGGCACAATGTTTTTACACAGGCTTCTGCACCGGAAGCACTAAACAGGCTTATTTGTCTGAAATTAGTTTAACTCCAGCGTGCCAGTGTTTCTTTATGATGCATTAGTTAAATTGAGCACGTTTCCAGTAATGATGTACTGACATGAAACCACTGATCTCAGGGGACATTGACTCTTTTAGAATTACAGCACCACTTTCATTTATTAATGAAACGGATTGTGAGTAATGTCTCGACATGGTCTTCTAAGGTTTTTTTTTTTTACATCTGAATAGTCTGTCTTATCGCTTAATCTTTTTATCATCTGTTTAATGTGATCAGATTAGCCACAGTGACAGAAATGACATTTGACTTGAACTTTTTCATGTGGTAACAGCTTTACGGTTACCGTGCTTGAAGCACCGGACTCTTTAAATGTTGTTCTCTTGCCATCTGCAGCCAAAAATTCTGAAGGGAAAGAGATCTTCCTGAGGGACATCTGGCCCACACGAGCGGAGATCCAGGCTGTGGAGAGAATGTTTGTCATTCCATCAATGTTTAAAGAAATCTATGCGAAGATTGAGGTAGTGTTATCTTGACTTTTTGGGGAGCAGCACGTATGCAACTTGAAAAAGACATTACTGACATGACTCTAACTGATTGTGTTATTACAGAAAGTGAATGAACGCTGGAACTCCCTGGTTGCTCCCTCTGACAAGCTGTATACCTGGGATCCCGAGTCAACTTACATCAAGTCGCCACCGTTTTTCGATGGCTTGGTAAATAATACAAATCACTACATCTTCCCGAAGTCATGAAACTCATTTTCAGTTTCCACCTCTGCTAAATTATTAAAGTTCAGGGCTGCCAACTGTCTCATTAAAGGTCATTTTTCATTTTTCCAAATCTGGAACTGCTGGCAAAATAGGAAAGAAAATATAAACTCCAGTGACAAATAATTGTCAGTGTACATCTAAACAAAACATTGCACAGATGAAACTGAACATAAAATATACTTGATAATTACACTTAATAATTGAATAGTAAGTTACGTGATTCATTAAAATTCTATTTTAACTGTAAGACTAGAAAAATACATTTATATGATTTTTTAGTAGAACACAGAGAAATTGAAAATGATTTTATTGGAAAATTAAAATGGAAAATTAAATGGAAATTACGTTTGTTTCACAAAATATTTCCATCACGATGAGAACACAAAAATGACTGCAAATGTTCCAACAAGCATGCTGGGCCATTAGGTGGTGATAGTCTACATTCAAGTTACATTGGACGAGGCACGTGCCTGTGAATGCCGGTAATTCGTAATTGAACCTAGCAGGGCGACCCAAATGAAGAGAAACAGGCATATAGTTGCCATTGTTGTTGTTTCTGGTTCATGCTCATTAGACAAAGCAACCGTGGGCATATGTGACATAAACTGTGACATCACCCTTTTCCCCAATGCTTCGTTTTTCTGTTACACTCATAAACGCAAAGCAGAGTTTGAAAATGCACTTAACACTGGAATCAAACTCTAAATGCTAAATGCTCAAGTCAATGCTGATGCAAATATTTTCCAGTGAGCTGAATAAGACGTAACGTGACATCATACGTCTAACAATCATTTCTGTTATTCAGACGATGAAGCTGCAGCTTCCTGGGTCCATAACCGATGCCTGCGTGCTGCTGAACCTGGGAGACTCGGTCACCACAGACCACATCTCCCCTGCGGGGAACATTGCCAGGAACAGCGCTGCGGCACGCTACCTTACCAGCAGGGGGTGAGAGACCTCACTGTTTCAGGCTGGGGCAGCAGTCTGTGCAGGCTACCTTGCTTTGTGAAAATGTTGACCCATGATGCACTGCACAGGGAACATTGGTGACTAGTGTGTTGTTTTCTTTCCTCTCCTACCTGATATCAGAGTTACGTTGTGAGAGTAGGTTGATTGTAAACCTGTATTTGAACTGTGTGTTAAAACCTTGGGCTTCACTCCGTTTGTGTTTTGACCAGTCTGACTGCGCGCGACTACAACTCCTACGGCTCCCGTCGAGGTAACGACGCTGTGATGGCCAGAGGGACGTTCGCAAACATCCGGCTCTTTAACAAGTTCCTCAACAAGCAGGCGCCTCAAACCATTCACCTGCCCTCAGGAGAAACGGTCAGCATAACCCCTCATTCTCTGAACTCAACAGAGAGCTTTTCCTCTCCGCTGTCCGTCTCTTTTCCTAATAATGAGTTTGTAACTCACACACACACGTGGGATTTTTGTAAAAGCCCCAATGATGTCAGTGATCATTTTACTTTGCAACAATCTGCATTACAAATCCAACTAGGACGGCACTCAGGGAGCACACACCTCCTCCAAGGCCAAACAGTCCCCTTATTAAACCAAGTTTCAATTCACTAGATTTTTATTTGCATCAAATTACAAATAGAAAAATGTTCTATCTCACAACAAAGTCATCAGGAAGTATAACCAGCAGAGTGCAGTATTTACCACCAGTAACTGTGAATGAGGAAGTACAGCTCCTGCAGTGGAACCAGGCGGCGTGATCACAAAATTACATGATGATACATAATATTGCACCAAAAGCTGACCTGCGGGATCATCAACATCACACAGTGTATACGGGCCTTAAAGTGACGCTTGTAATTTAGCTTGGAGGAAAGACCTCAGTACTGCTTCAAATGGATACACTGAGTCATATTTTTCTTCCTTTTCTATGCAGCTGGATGTGTTCGATGCTGCAGAGAGGTACCAGCAGTCCAGTACCCCCCTGATCATTCTGGCCGGGAAGGAGTACGGCTCAGGCAGCTCCAGAGACTGGGCCGCTAAAGGACCCTTCCTACTGGTGAGGATCACACACTCACGCGGCATTAAACCAGTTTTCAATGATTTGGTTTGGATTCTTTTAAATAATAAAAACTCGCACTGCTTTTATTATTTGCTGCAATGTTCGCAATTATGTTAAACAAGATTTTCTAGGCTTTTTCTAAAATCCATTTCTTTTCACTTATTCATGATGAATATTAAATGAGTCTTTACACCAGCTCTTGTAGTTCAGGATCACATTGTCTCTTTGTACTTACAAGATGTTTTAACACTGACTGAGAGTCACTGGTGTCTGAAATAGATCATTCACCTTTCATTTGAGGATGGAAGAAGGGAATGAGATGAACACTGAGACCTAATTAATGGCTGAGACTTTCTTTTAAAACATTTATATCTCTCTGTTGTACATGGCACTGTCCAGAATTTTGAAAGTGACTGAAACAAAGTTGATTAATCCACATTTGTGACTGATCCAATTATAGGAACTGCAACTCACTTCTGGTGAGTCATTGTAAATATAAGCTGTGTCTTAGTTCAGGGGCCACACTTGAAGAGTTACGCTGTGTTCTCCACAGGATGTCGCTCCTGAATTGAGATGCAGCTGTAGTTGTCATCACGTTTCTAAAGTGTAGAGCTTTGTCCATGTGATCAGTTGCGTGAGCTGAGACCATCAACTGCATGTAAAGATGGACAACATGACAGCTCCCCAGAAGTGAAGCCAAAACATTTCCCCCCTAGTGGCTGGCTGCAGTATAGATCCTAAATGCAACATTCTCCATGTTAGTGGAGTGTAAAGATGGTTTCTGTCAGGGGGGGCGTACAGCTCACCTGGCTCTAAATGGCGTCCGAAGTGACAGCAGCTATATTAGAGGTATTTTATCTTCAACCGAAATCGGAGGAAGAGGAGGCATGTTTGACATCTTTATTTACAGTCTATGGCTGAGACTGGGATTTTACTGAAAAGTAGTGAGGCGCTTGTAAAGTGTTAAAAGAATGAATCTTTCCCCTTTTTTCCTTTAGGGTGTTAACGCAGTTATAGCCGAGAGCTATGAACGGATCCACCGCAGTAATCTGGTGGGGATGGGAGTGATTCCTCTGGAGTATCTACCAGGAGACACAGCTGACAGTCTGGGGTTGACCGGCAGGGAGCGCTACACCATCCCCATCCCCGAGCAGCTCACTCCCAGGATGCTCGTCGACGTTCAGGTTAGTCGGGGACAGTTTGCCGTGGATCAAGGTCAGAATAAATGTTTCTGTGCGACGTGACGCTTCATGCCTCTTTCCGCCCTCACAGCTCAACACAGGGAAAACATTCCAAGTGCGGATGAGATTCGACACGGACGTGGAGCTGGCATATTTCCACCACGGAGGAATCCTCAACTACATGATCCGCAAGATGTCTGAAAACTAACCTGCGGAAAGCGAGATGCATCTGTTGCAATTCTCAGCTCAAGCTCAACATGGTAATAATCCAATGTAACAGCCAACAAACGAAATACTGTCCAGGAATAGTTCAACGAGTCAAACTGTTCAGTGCAATGAGCCACTCACAGAGACACAATCTTCTCATTGTCGAGAACGCTGCTACGAGTCATGTCTGAAGTCTGGAGTGAATTTGCTGCATGTCACATGTGAATTGTATGTGAAGATATGCAAGGAAGCGTGATACTTAATTTAAAAATGCCATGAGTTAAAAGTCGCTTCATGTCCTCCTGTATTTCTTTGTCATAACAACGAAATTCCAACCTGCACTTTCAGAGGCAGCAGTTCTTCTGCTTCTATGATTACTTCACTTTATCACAGCATGGCTCTTATTTTGTCTCCCGTCGTAATGATAAGACCTGGAGCTGGCTTTCAGAATTTGTACGTCTATGGTACCAATGTCAAGCTTCGGGGCTTCACTGCCACAGACTTCTATACTGTGGGTGTCGCAGTCACACTAAGGAATGCTCACTTTATACATGTGGGTCCCTGTTTCGTTAGCTGCTCTCTATTTGAACATGCATGAGTGCACGCAGGTGACGTGATACACCATCCGGGCGACAAAGACGACGATAATGATAGTTAGCGCTCAGGATGTTTGTCCGATAAAGAACTGAAGTAGCAAATGCGTCAAATAAGAGCCAGGTTGTAATAAAGCAGAAATATTCTTTCACATGTTGAGATTTAAATTGAATTCTTCCTCATATTAAGCATTTATCTTTATATAGATTTTAGTTTCTCAGGGTTATGGGGGTAAACGGTTGGGGGTGTGAGGTATGTGTCGCAGAAAGTACTTTTTGGTGGTGATGGAACTGTAAAGTCACATGGGGAGGAATCAGGCGCAGCTCGAGTGTGAGTGCACATTATTCTTCTGGTTACTCCTCCAGCTAAAGACACTGTGGCGACACGGTGTGATACAGTAAAGGTTCTTATTTTCTCGTCGTTTCAGCCCACGTGAGCTGCTTTCATTGGATCTGCCCCTGTGGTGGTTTTTATTCATTCTCTCCATCTCGCTGATTTAGTCAGTGAAAACATGCCTGTTTGTTCTTTAGACATTCCAGTGCAAAGCTGCTTTTGTCAACGTATAAACTGCCTTAATAACTTCATAAGTCTGATCATGTTGTTGATCATTTTTATTTCAAGGAGACTGACAAACCGTTGTTGTGCTAACTGTTGCACGTTCCCTACAATCTGAAAGCGTTAAACCACAGGATATTGATAAACAGAATAAAAATACTTTTTTTTGCAACCCTTTTCCTGTCATTCATTGTTGAACTTCTTCTATTTTTAGGACATTTAGGTTTTAGAAGGGGCCAGAATTAGTAGTTATAGTGATCAGCTTGAAGCTCATGTCATCTGCGGTCCCTAAACTTCAAACACTGACGCACTGATGAGGCTATATTGGAATGCTTTTATTTCTTTTTTTAAATACACTGGGGGATGTGAGCCTTAAAAGACTCCCTGAAAGCCCTGTGGTCCCATAAATAGCCGACTGACACCACACTGCTCTCACTGATCATGGATTTCTGTCTAAAAACTGCCAAACGTTGTGTTTCACGATCCACTGGACTATTTTTCAAAAGCTAGACTTAAGTAGGGGTTAGCGAGAGCTCTGTGATCAGCTGACGTGTCTCAGATAAAACTCCCTACCAAGAGTGAGTCGTTTCCTTGTAGTCCAAGTGCTCATTATAGGCCACTGGAGGGCGCTGTACGCAGGATTCATGACACCTTACTCTGACAAATGGAAAATCTGATGAAACGCTGTCAGTTTGGCCACTATAGAAATATTTCAGTCATACCCAACTCCTACAGAGTTCACATATGCAGCTTTGAAATAAAGCACCAGAGCTGTTAGCGCCATCAGGTGCTGAAGTCGTGCATAGACACAAACCGTTGTACATTTACAGTGCAACTGGAAGAAGCCTGGAAATCCTAGTGTCCCTTTACATTTCCCTGGAGGTTGTAACGAACAATAAAAGCCCGTGTGACATATAACATCCCACACATTGTGCATCCGTGTCACTGAAACTGCAGCGGTGCAATCTGGGACTACTGTTCCTCCACGTTGCCAGAAATACAATTCTAGAGGCGAAGTCGTACTGTATAATTATAATATAAATATTTTTTCTATTGTAAAACGCTTTTCTCAGCAGCTTAAGAAGATTGCAGCTTAAGGAAAACACCTATAAAACAAAACCTCAGTGTTCTCATGAGTACGTCTCTGTTTTGCTCATTGAATGCAAACAATGCAGATGTATTGGGTGTCACTTTGTACACTTCCAGCTCGGAATCTGATGAAACAGCCGGAGAGCATAGTAAACACAGAAGGTGATACTGGTAAGTGGGGGGGAGGAGGAACTCTGTCTGCCACAGTGAAAACAGATGGAGGCCATCTTATTGATTCAGAGTAATTCTAAACACACGCGCGAGGATTGTTCTTTATGTTTATTCTTCATTGTTATTTAGTTGATGTCCAGCGTGGAAAGGTTTGGCGGGGACGTTGTTCATCAGGCTTCTGCTCTTTGAGAAGTCACTGATGTATCTGAGAGTGATTTAGCAGCCGCTCTACGTGAGGAGGCTCTCCTCTGTGTGGTTCGTGTTTCACGGGCCGTTTTGTCTGCGACTCGGGACGTCAGAGTGAAAAGACACAGACGGATGAGAAAAAGCTTGGAGTGGGGGAGGAGTGGTGTCGGGACAGAAAGAGCCAGCTGCATGTGCCTGTGCCAACATCCAGCAAACCTAACAACAGAACTCACGCCAGACATGTGCTGTATATATGTATATATGTACAAAAAGCTGAGGGAGCGCCTGACATGCAAATCCGCTCGTGGACTGAAGCTCATTTGAAAACCTTTGAATTTGTTGGTTTTTTTCTTTAAGAACATAATTAGCTTGAGCTACGAACAGTTTTCAAAATATATTTCATGATGTGTGAATTTGCTCAAAGCTCTGGAGCCAACAATAAAAAAGATGATTTAAAAGTGCACCTTCCCGAATCATGAATGGTACACGGATGTCGGACATACAATTGGCCCCTCTGTGTGAATTGTGGCCCCTGATGTAGAAAAATCCTCGATCCCCCCACCGTGAGCGGTGCTGCTCATTCCGCACTAGAAAACAAAACATGTGGGTTATTGTAAAATGGCCATTGTGTCAGCACAGCGGATTGTAATGTTAAGTTAGCACAGCAACATTTTAAAATTAGACAATCATTTAATGTTTTCACTTCTGAGCAGTACACGTGTACATTTTGTACTTGTGGGATACATTTTCTTTTACTTGTATAACTTGTGGAAGGCTAGATTTGTCTCCGACGCATCATTTATTATATATATATAGTGTGTTTTGTTTGTTTCTCAAGTTTTAGCATTAATTTAGCTCCATTCTTTTTTGCTTTAGTTACGTAGTCTTTAACCAACCACAGCCAACCTGGACACCCAGGATGCTGCGACTGTGCCCCTGCTGATAAGTGTTGGTCGGGGGCTTGTTTTGGTGCAACCATAAACTTCCACACAATAAAATGAGTAAAAAGACACAATGAAAGATAGTTCTCTACATCATTTATTCAATTAAACTCAAAATCATCCATATATTAGTTATTTGATACATTTATTAAGATAATGGAGGGTTTTCTCTTTTTTCTGCATGAACAGACACAGTAGGTTCACCTCCACCTCTAGTAATTTATAATTCAAGTGCATGTAAATAATGTATTAGTGTCGTTCTACAGTCACACCTGAGTGCTTCCCTTGGAAAGATACAGCAGTCTGTAAGTCTAACATTCACACACTGAACACTTTTCATCAACGATAGCTCAAGTCTGGCAGCCACAGTCTGTTTCAACGATGGTTCTTCTCAGAAACAAAAATGCATTGAGGTAGAAACATCGCTTTCACACTGGATGCATCTGTATCTGGTGGATCGCTGATATAATACAGTACTGCAGGGTCGACCCTTAAAAGGAACATGTTGAGGACATTAAAGAATCTTTAAAGTGCACCATAACAGCATGATTCTTACAACCACTCAATGCGGTCCTCGTGTTCTCATTCCAGTGTCGTACATACCACACAACTCAGCGTCCACTTCTAACCAGTGTCTCTTGTGCAAGCGAACGTGTACGAAACACGAGTGGATGTGCAGATATGAGCAGAACAAATAACGTGCTAATCATGACGTTTCTGAAAATTAGACACCGGCAAACATGACTTATTGACAACAGTTACACAAGTGTGACGTGCAAGTAATTCCTTACAATTCGGAGCTCTATGAGAAAGACTACATGACAGAATCGCCACGGACGTGACAGAATTACGCAAAAAAACACACTCAAAGAAAACAGACCGTCTCCTGATTTATCTTGATGTGAGCACCAGCAGTCATGGTTCATTAACACTGAACAAAGGAACAATTTTTTCTGGTATCCTCAACTGAAATCCTGTTTCTTCTTCACTTGGTCGTCAAATAAGGGAAGACAGCAGCACTGAGGGTCTTTTTCATGGACACAGGTGGGGTCACATTGATTTGTGGTTGAGTTGAAAGAATATACTTCAAACCAGCAGGTAAAGCTGCTTTCAGACATGAACCGAACTCCGGAGAATCTCCACAGGGCCGGCGTATGTGAGAGCGCAAATGTCCGAGGTTGGGGCCTCCACACTTTCTCTGAAGTTTCTCCAGCAGGGCCCCCCCGTGAAAAAAATCAGCCCCTGTGAGAAAACAGCAGTAGATCTCCCGCAGGATTCACTGAGCGAGTGGGTGTGTTGTTGGCATTTCTAACGCGGCACAGACGCAAAAATTTTGAATAAACCAAGCGAAAAACAAATTATATAAATATCCCGGGATGAAAAAGTTGATGTGTATGCTGCACCACCCCAGATTTCTATATTGTTGTGACAGCGTCTGAACGGGGACGAAAGGCAAACACTGGAGAAATTGTGGATGCCACGTCTCCAGAGTACGTGTCTGAGAACTACTATGATGCACATGCAAGATAGTTCAAATCAACATGGTCCAGACTTTCTCCGGAGTTCATATCTGAGAACAGCCTAATCGTGACACAGCAAAAAGTGAAAATGCCAAAAAGTGGCAGTGAGCACAAACTGTCATATCAAACTACAGTAAATGAATCAGTGAATGCTGTGGACCTCATAGTGTCCTTAACTCACAAAAGTCTGCGTCACACAATATACCTTGTTGTCTTCTCATTACTGACCATTAGTTTACTTGGCAAACATGACACGTTTGCCCGTCTTTGATAAGATCACAAATCTACTTAAAACACAAATATGGACTCAGACAATTGAAACAGTCAAAGAGAGTAAAAGAGAATATCTTAATAAATTGGATTAATAGCAAGCAACCCAAATAATGGGCCAAAGCTTTACGCTGTGAAACGGAGCCTGCCCAGTTAAGGTCAAGCAGAAGGAGTGAAGAATAAAAGAGGAAGGAAAGGAAAGCAGACATCAACAAGGGTGTTTCAACACAGGTTAGCAGCTAACATAGGAGCAAGCAGGGTATGAGCCTACAGCACCGAGATCATTGCCAATAATAAGGCTAACCTTGCTTCATGCATTTAAAGGTTGGATAATAGATGGTACAAGAAGCATTACATTTAAATGGTAAAATCAAAGCCCACGGTTGTGCCTCTTGTGTATCACAATTATCTCTGAATCACACACATAAGCATGAGTGAAATAATAAAAATGCTTTAATCACTGAATCATGCAGGAGGTCATTAAACTACATCGCATCTCTGTCCATGTGGATGGAAAAATATTCCAACATTTGTTGATGTTGATTTAAATATATATATATATATTTTAAATAAACATTTTTATTTTGGTTTTGTTCAAATTAGCGCAAGACTATACGTGCCATTCTCTTTGTTTAGGTTAATTAGGAAATAATAGCGCAGCTTGAGAAACAGGTTTGAAGTTTTTTTTTTAAATGGCACTGCAGAAATAGTTCGGTTTGGTTAGATTAGAGCCCAATTCTTTATCATGTGCTTATAAAATTTTAGACAACATAAGACAGTCTTTCATGGTGGGGGTGGGGGGGCATATCAAACGCCTGTTAAATGATCCTCATGAGTTTTTCACAGGCTGCCTGGGACAGTATATAATAATTTTTTCAGAAAAACTGGTCCTTATGTCATGATGATACACAAACGGTACAAACTGTGAGGTGAACTATCAGCCTGCTCTATTTCCCAAGTGCAAACATATCATCCAGGCAGTTCCTGGTGAGGTTATACAACTACAATTTTTCCTATTACAGCATTTCAACTCTCATTATTCTAAAGTATGGCTTATGCTTTGAGAGGCTGCTGTACGTCACATGACATGAAAAGTCTCATGTACACAATGAAGGCGTTCACCCTGGAACTGCTGCTTCAATCCTTTTTTTCAAAGACAGATTTTTAACTTCATGTGCTCCAGAAAAGTCAATATGCTTCTCATACTGTTTAGAAAACATCCGATTTATATCACATTTAATCTGAACTAATCATCAATGAAATAATCCAGCAAGTCCAGCATAACATCCCCCCATGCTGACGAAATGTTAAAGTGTCCCTTAAGGGTAGAAACTGAGCATGGCTTCTTAATGACAGGGCAGAACCCTGAAAAGTGCTTAACTCTACCACCATGAGCTCTCAGCTATTTCTGTTACGTCCGCAAGGCCACTGCACTTCCTGCTGCAAGGATCTCTTGGGAAAAGTGGGAGGAAATGAGACTGCGTAAGTAAGTTAGAGGAAGAGAAGATATGGTTAACAATGCTCTGACAAAATGATTAATTCAATGTGAAACAATGGGTTGAGAGGATTTTCAAAAGGATACCATTTAAGGTCAGAGGAAGGGAGGAAGTGCAACAGGGGGAAGGACGTGAAAGCAGAGCACTCATGGACCACTTCTGCAAATGCACATGCCGACTTTGACGCAACATTACCCAAATGTTATGTGGGACTTTCTCCTGGGCACCATCCCCTTTCCTCTGTCCTCAAGTATACAGCCCTTGGAGGTAGTTATTATGTCCACTGCTTAGGCATCCTGTTGGAACATGCTGGAACCGCTCAGGGGAAAGAGCTGGCAAGTTCCTTCAATCTCCACTCAACCAGACAGCCTCCCCCTGTGATGAGCTCAGAATATAATCCTTTCATCTCCCGTTGTCCCCAATTTCCCCTCATGAAAGCTCAGAAATGCTCACGAAAGGGTGAAAAACTGGACGGGAATTGTTTTACTTGTGCGCATCTCTTTGTGGCATGGCTCTGTATGCATGTGCAAATATTCCATCTCCTCCGACTTGATTTAAAAGATAATGTCTGTAAAATCAGTGGCATTTCAGGCGTTTCTTGATATGTTCCTTAGCCAGCTGGTCTCTCTGAGGTTCGTAGAATCTGTTGGCACACCAGGAGAACCACACAATGATGGAGATGATGGTGGTCTGCAGGAGGAGCATCACCCCGTAAGTGGTAGCTATGGTAGGTCCAGGTAGGCGGGAGAGGGTGGCAGGGGGCAGCAACAGAGTCGGGCTGAGCAGGATGGCCCTCACCTCCGTCTTGATCATGTGAAGTTCGTCGAGGATGGACAAAAACGTGCAGCAGTGGAACCATTGGTGGCTATGCCCCCAGATGTCAAAGCGACCCGGGGCCAGCCGCTCCGGGATCTTGCTAATGTTGAAGATGGCCGACACCAGCAGCCAAAAGCAGTGGCGGTAGAAGAAGTTGGGCATGGAAGTGGAAGCAGCAAAGGAGGAGGAGGTGGTGGAATAAGGCGATCTGGTGAGGAGGCGATAGAAGACCGGTGTAGAAGAGACGAGGAATGGGAGGAGGAAGACAAGGGTACGGATGACATATCGATGCTTTCTCCACCTATGGCGAGTGTTGCAGCAAGATAAGACACAAATGATTGCTACAACACATGCACATGGGATGTAGAGGGTGTCAAAGAATACACTGAAATCTGGGATTGCATAGGATGAAAAAAATGTCCCTGCAGGTTCATGTTTCAGGTCCATATGGGAGCTATTATGGCCTCCTGTGTCCACTACCCCTGCCCGAGGGTGGATGTAGTAGTAGTACGCCAATGATGATCCGACTGTGTATGAACTGATAGTGCCATAATCCACAAAGAAGCACACTTCTCTTACCATCAGAGACATTGAGTTGAGCAAGTGGGCCATGCTGCTAGCAATGAGGAGACAGAACACTCCGATAAAGTAGTTCCACAATGGATAGAAGAATGGAGCATCACCGTGTGGGGCACCTTCCCAACCAAACACCTCCACAAAATAGTAAGAAAAAACAAAGACTGGAAGGAAGTGTGTCCAGAAGTTGCCCGTTTCATTAGTCGGCCTGAATGCTGATAGTAAGCAATCCCTCAGGCTGTAGTTTGGGAAGCGGTAGCCAGTCAGGATGAAGTTTTCGATGACCCGAGGTGGCACATCTGTGTGCCTCAGGAGAGGTAATGGCTGACCACAGTCCAAAAGCATGATTGCAAAAGTTTGTGTTGTTAATAGCAAAAAAAAAAAAAAAAAGTTAATCAGCTTCTGAGTTTCTGGCAAAGGAATTCAGTGTTTATTGCTTGGCTCTTGACTTTATTGCTGACCACAATTCACAGCATGTTTGGAAGTCTATGATAAGGAATCTAACTGCCTCTCAGCGCTCTTCTCAGGACCTTTGCTCCGGGCACAACTGCCAACCTTGAGAGTTGTAGGCCAAAGGCTAAAGAGCCGAGCCGCTGTGTAATCTAGCAGCAAAATAGGAAAGAAGTGTCCAGAAGCCTTGAGGCCCCTGCATGATTGATTTACCTTTTAGTTTCCTCTTTGACCCCAGGATGTTACAGAAGAACAAAACATCCACCCCACAAAGCTGATTCCATCGATCTGGTTCGCTTATATCAGGACATGGCACTTATTTTGCCTCAGGACATGGTCCACATGGATGATTCAGTCGATTCAGTCTGATGCACATGCACTTGTCCTGTTGTGCATACTTCTGCAGCAGCAAATGCAAATGAAGGTCACTTATTCCCGCGGTGCAAAGGGTGAGCAGCACATCAGCAGCTCAGTCCTGGAGATGCGTCTCTTAAGCCCTGTGGTATGTAGGTCATGCTGGCCCCCGAGTCCCGCATCAGGCTCCTGTTCCTCCCGTTGTCCCTGCTCCCTCAGCCTGGATCCGACCTCCACTTCATCCAACTCCCATTCCGTTGCAATGCATGGCGCTGCAGCGCAGAAGTAAAATCCCACCGGGGGTGGCGTCGGGAGGCGTTGTGTGAGCCGGTCTCTTAGCGCAGGGTCATTGAAAAAAAAATCTGCATTACGTAACCGGGGTCTTCCACATGCGTGAGGCAGAGCAGAGTCCTGAGAGCCGCTTTTCACTGAGGACACTGACAGGTACCAGCGTCAAGTTACACGTGCCTTAATACGCTGCTTCCGCTCCTGAGTGTCAAAATAAAACGCAGAGGTCGTGATATAACACTTTTTAGAGGTCATTTGCAGATTTGTCTTTATTTTCCATTATAAAGCTGCTTTATTTCTAGCAAAATGCATTTTGAAGCAGGTCAATCAATCAATTCAATTTTCTTCGTATAGCCCCTATTCACAAATCCCTATTTGTCTCATAGGGCTTGACAAGGTGTGACATCCTCTGTCCTTAACCGTCAACAAGAGAAACAAAAACCTACCAAAAAAACACTTGACACTTGATTAAATTTGATTCCAGGAGAGCAGTGCAAGTTCAAAACCTGCCTGTTTGAAATGTTCTGTTCTCTCATCCTGTGTTTATGCTCCGAATTCAGAATTATTCCTTGTCAGGAGTGAATCTTCCTCAAACTGTTCTACAATATACTGTCACTTTTTTATATATTTTTTTGTGCTGGACGACAAGTTTTTATTAACAGTTTATGGTGAAGAGTGAAATAAGAAAACTTTGTGTTCAGCCTACCCGGTTTGTCTACAATGAAGATTTTATCGTCAGTGTTTTTCACAAAATGAAACTTAATTTGCGATATAACATGTGACCCTTGTTTGTAAGTTTGAATGATTTACTCATCTGCTGCTATTTTCTCATATTATTTTAGAGGTCTGTTAAGTTAATGAACCAATCCACCCAAGTTCACAACTTTTATAAAAGCTCTGTAATTCTGCTCAGTAAAAAGCTGGGATAAAATTAGCATCATGCTTTTAATTTTAACTTATGCCATGAGAGAGATCCACACAGAAATAGCTGAATAGTAATCAGTTTATTTGTGATTTTGACTTGCAGTTTGACCCAGTGTCCAACAATTGTTATAGATTAACCAAGGATGTATGCTGGTCATTTGTTTATTCACTTTTCGTTAATGCTGAACGTATCGCTTGTCTAAATCCAACCAAACTTGCAATTATAATGGTAGGAACTAATAACATGACAAGAAAAAGATGAATTAAAATGAAAAAGAAACTTTTTTTGAAACAATGCATTTGTGACTCATGTCACAGCAGAGGTCTTTAGTAGGCTAATAAATCAATGTACCATAAATCATCTCGTTTAAACAATGAGCCATTAGCTTTATATACATGGACCAATACAAATAAATCCTAATATGGTAATTTGTGAATTGAAAGAGGTCATTTTAGGAACTATAAAACAAGGTCATGGAAATGGACAGATAGAGAAACCCTACTCTTGTTGTACACATGATCTGAAAAACAAAAGTAGGGTTTAATAATAAAGTTTGCAGCAAGCGGTTAATTCTGGGAGAGGTTTTTTTTTTTTTCTTCGTCTTTTATTGTAACTGTTGTAACAGAATGTGAACATTTAAATTTGTATCTTAATCAATGAACCCAAAATATTTTTAGCAGTGATGGAATTAAGAGAATATTATGATTTACTATTTTAAAAATTATCAGGCAAAAAAAAACCCATTACCATAGAAGAGAAAAAAGTATGGACCTTTTCTATTTGACTCTCACAAACTGCATTATACTGCACATGCTGCACTTTTTGGGCAACGCTCTGATCCTTTTATTTTGAAGGCACGCGCCCTCAGCTTCCGGTCTGGTTGCGGCTCACTGCGTGCCTTGAGGCTCTTCCACAATAAAACCGAAGTCACAGAGCTGAGCCTCTGATCGATCTCAGTTTTAACCTCATCGCGCTTCTACAGACACAATCAGGACAGATGAAAGTGAAGGAGGGCAGGAGGGGAACCCGAGCCGTGCCGTGCTAACGTCTGTCCCCGTTGTCTGCTTTAAACACAGTCTGTCCCTGTTTAGTAATCCTGTTACAGCACCAGAGTGTGTGTGTGTGTGTGTGTGTGTGTGTGTGTGTGTGTGTACTTTGTGTACTTTGTTTACCAGAAGGATGAAGCTACATCAACCAATCATCAGGAATGTTAATGTTCATCCTGTGCAGTATTTTACTTATTATTATTACTACTACTACTTTTTTCCAGGTTATAACACTGGCTCCTCAAAATGTCTGTGCACCTCCCTGCTCAGTAGTTACCTCTGTTGTTCAGTGTTATTATAACATGCTGTGGCTACATGTATTATGAGGCAGTGTTAATATTAGACATGTATTAACTGAGTTTAGTTCAATAAATAATCTGAGCTTTTAATTTACTGTAAAATACATGGCGGCTATTTTCTTACCCATCTTATATTAGTATTGGTAATTAAACACATTTCTAATGAATAGGGTTTTCTTCTGTAGGTTTTTAAAGACTTTTTAAATTCAATCATCCTAATTTTTATGCCTAAAACAATTCTTAAATATCCTAAAATATTACGTCATAGGTTTTAATTATGTCACTGTGCATTTATAGCTACTTCTGAGCTTTAAATTATTTTTCCTTTTGGCCGCATGCATAGTTTGTAATGTCTGTGTTTTAGTTCTTTCTCAACGATACAAATAATAAAACCTTCAACCTTTGTTTGTTCTGTCCTCTTCTTTAGTTTAGTATAAGGTTTCTTTTTGTTGTTGTGGGTTGTATATATTGAGATTAAAAAACACTACTGATTGATAGCCTGATCAGAATTTGTGGCAGTAAATTACTAGTAAAAATAACTTGCTGTTTACGAGGGTTCTTCTCTACTTGGCTACTTCTATGGCTTGTCTAGGTATGGGAATGTGTAACTGTGGGACTCTTTAATACCTGTTGTACTCTGATTCAATATGTTCTTAAAAGGTCTTAAATTTAACTTGTTGGAAACCACAGCTACCCTGGAGGAAACAAACTGACCAGGCAGACACCCAACAAGGTCAGGTGTTGATCACAAACACAAGTATTGCCAGCATAAAAATTAAATATTCAAGACAGAAAGTAGAACTCAGCAGAACAGCCTGTTTTGAAGAGCTCAGTTTATATCTGAATTTTGCAACATGACACTCTGGAGGAAACCAAAGGTGGCGTTTCCCCTCGTGTTCTGTAAATCAGTCAACCCGGCCTGCGGGCAAGAAAACCGCGCCCATCCATCTCCCCGCTCATTCTCCTGTGCTGACCATTGTTGCCAGATGTCAGGAACGTCTTTGAACCGGCAATTTTGGCAGGATGGGGCGGAGGATGTGGGGGTGGGGTGGCCATTTTCCAAATACCCCTGAAGAATTAGAAGCAGGCCACACTTCAGAGCACAGCAGACAGAGAGAGAGAGAGAGAGAGACCGGCAGCATGTCTTTTTTATCAATTAATGACTGACATTAGCTGACAGCTACTTGTCATGACATTACAGACCCACAGAAAGACCCACATTTGCACTGGGACATCCTAACAATCTTTGAAAATGCAGTACATTCTATTCCCAACTGGGAACATTTCAATGGAAGAAGTTTTTGATCCCAATATGTTTTAATTTTCCAAGATATCTCCTGAAAACACAAGAACTTGTGACAATTTCTCTCGGGAACAGCCTGTCTGAGCACCCTTGGGTCCCTGTTGACCTCTTTTGAACTCTGGTTCTGTCCTAAGCGTTTGGATTCTCTAACATGTTTGTGAAAAGCTCTTTCTCTGAGTAGCAGGAGCTTTAGCTTTCATCTGTAAACAGGACACAGACTTGTCAGAGCCACAGCAAATATGCAGCAAGTCAGTCACTTGACTGGTCATGTTTGGCAGAGGGGAGAATACTGTCTTTATATATCCTCCAGCAATAAAAAAGGGTGAAGCTATTCACGCATTTTTTTTTTTTTTACAGGGACTACATGTAAGATCTAGCTGTTGCCATTCAGCCGCTGGTAGAAGTAACAGATTTTGAATTAGAAACTTGGCAGAAACATGAAACTGTATTTGTATAGCCCATATTCACTTATCAGTTTGTCTCATAGATCTTAAAAATGTGCGACATCCTCTGTCCTTGGAGTGAGGAAAACAACCAGAAACCTCAGAGAGCCACATGAGAGGGACCCCTCTTCCAGGACGGACACAAGCGTAGAGAGCACATCAACGAAATTACAATAATTAAAACATTGATGAGAAAAGATGTATCAATGTTTAAAGTATCTATACAAAAGAGAAGGCCTGGCTGAGATGAAAGCCATTGTAATGATAGAGGCATTGCCAATAATGGTATGCAAGTAGGTGTATTGTATATCTAAGCGAACTAGTTGTAATAATAATAATCCGTGATTGTCTGCCACCACGATTATCATTATCATATAATCACAATCCACCATCCTTTCACAATCACGATCCACCTTCACCATCATGATCCACCATACACTGTCTCACATGTGAGTTCAGTCAAGAGGTGTCCCCAGCGGTGGAAACCAACGCCAATGTTCACCCCGGTTTTTTTTAGCTCACTTCTTTGATTCGACTAAACTTTGCACGCCAGCCCCAACCCATCTCCTCGCTTTCCGCAGCCAGCGAGTTGCTGCTCAAGCATTAAAACGTGTGTGTTTCAAGGCAGAGTTTGGATCTCTAAGCAGTAATAGTAGTATCACTATTGATGTGCAGCCCGTTACTAACCTGTCAATCGAAACAGCCTTCTAACATAAGGTGATCGTGTTTACAACATTTCCAGCACGCTGCCTCATTCTGTTCAACTGGAAACGATCCAGACCTCCATGTCACGTCAGATAGGTTGAAAGATCTACCTTCCCACTTAAAGTTGTTTTAATGAAAATACACCCTGTAGGGACGTCTTTGGTCGATTAGATAACAATCCATCCTCAGTGCGTGGTCAAGCTCTATGTGACTGTGGTCCGATCGTCCAAAATAGCTTTTGAGTGAATGAGTTACACCTTAGATGAACCTTTAACTTCCTTACTGACTGTTTGCGCTGGTAGGACTGCTTAGTTTTAGGTGTGGGTTCCAGTCAGGTATAGGGAATCTAGGGGAGTATAATGTATTATCAAAGGAATAACTGGAGTTAATGACAGATTACAGAGGCTGAACAATTGCAGCACAGAATTAAATTATAGTAGAGATCAGTCAGAACTTTTCATAAGTGAAGGAAACCTTGGACTGATAACAGCAGCACTGCAGGAACATGCAGCGAGGCCCGAACATGCCCGAGGTAACAAAAGCCTTTCCAGCCGATGAGTCAAAGAGTTTATATGATGAAGATAAAATCCCAAACAATACTTAAAACCAGTAACTGAACCGGAGTAAGAACTATCTGAGTACACCTAATCAGATGCTGCATGACATTTTGCTTTTATCGACAAACTGAATGATAACACACAATTTTTGAAGCCTTTTGTTAAACTCTGCATCAGGAAATCTGCTTTCATTTCACTAAATGTTTCAGTCCTCGCCGACTCTGAGAGATATGTTCCCCCGCATCCTGATTCAGTGGACTGAACAGATGGACACCAAAGCTGCACATAAACACAGCAGATGCTTTACATCTGGTCTGAATTCGGGGGTTGTTACCAAGGGGCTGCTGATCTCACATTGCTCCCTTCCCAGGTCCACAGCAGTTGGCAGGAGGGAATTGAACTTTGATTTGGTGGTAGAAATTTGAGATGATTTGAAGTATATTTTGCCACATACCGAACACATTACATAAATGAAATGAATAATTGTTTGGTTTTGTTTCTGCAGCATTTTGATTTAATCCGAGTCAAGTTTGAAATCCACTTGTACTTGCACAAAATAGAAATAAAATTATGATAAATAATCAGCTATACAGTGAAGTATAAATCGCTGCTGTTCAACTTTCACAACCTTTTTCCTCACAAGCTACTTGCTCCACACAGATATGAGCAGAGCCTTGGACAATCATGACCTGGATGACTTAGAATCTTCACACACAAAATGACTCTATATTTTATGTTTATAGCATCCTGTCTCATTTTCAAGACATTAAAAGCAGTATCTTGATGATATATAAACCTCATCAGGGCAGCCTGCTGGCTCCTCCATTAATGTGTTGGTAGGTGAAGGGCTTTATCGTTGGTGGGGAAACAGTGCCCCCTGTGGGTTTGTTTATCACCTTGCCTCTCAGCTCACTGATCTCAGAAGAAGCCCTCTGACACTGTTAGAGAGACAGAGGAGGAGGCAGGCATCCGGTCAGTTAGAGCAATGCATGTTCTCATCATGTCCATAGTTGTCAAGCGAGATAGTCTTCCTTCTAATTTAGTTTTAGCTTATTTAAAGCTGAAGTCAGCAAAATTACACTAATGCAGATAAAATAACTGGGGTTGGACGAAAGATTCTAAGACTTTTAGAGGAATAATTCTCTTTCCAAGAATGAGTTGAATAGATTGATGGCACCACATGGTAAGGAACCACCTGTCAGAAGCCGGACTGAGTCTCATAAGACAGAGACGCATTAATAGTGTACAGGTCAGCACTTCTGATTAAGCTGTAGAAGGTTTATCTGTCGAAATTGGTGTTGACTGATCAGATAATGTGAAGGATGTTGCATCAACTGTGCCTCTACAGATGACGCCCAGAAAGAAAACATAAATCCCAAGACTAAAACAATATAGAGGCAAACAGCAGCTTGCAGAAGAGGTATTTTCCAATATGACTATGATCCCATCAAAGGACTTTGTAAAGAACGGTGAAAACAATGACCCGCCCAAGTCTGTTCTATGATTTGAATCCAACAGGAAACCTTTGAGAATTTTAAAGGCGAAGAAGAAGAAACAAACCCCTCCAGCTATATCCAGTCCATATGGACTTTTTATTATTGTTCAATTAGCATAAACATTAAAAGATATATAATTACTTCACAATTTGGAGATATTCAACAGCGCTGTCTCAGTTGAATATAGCAGATGCATGTCGGTCAATGTGTTGCACCTCTTTCACTCTCCACACCAGACAATCGAAGTCTGCTCAAACATGATTGACCAAACTAGAAACCAGAAGCTCTATGCCACAAAATCTTGTCTCATGTCTCTAGATTCATATTTACACACAATCTGTTTATTGAGATTAGGAAACATAGAGCTCTCACACAAAGCCTTCAACTTTATGGACATTCAACACTAAGGTGCTGGAATATCCCTGGGATAGTTTTACTGATTATCACTAACACAAAGAATCTTGTTTTTATGTGCAGTATATCTAAAATGTTTTTGGGAGGATTAGTGTGTACTCTTGATCTAGATATGTTGGTTGCTTCTTTCACACGTCTTGATGAATGTACTCTCTTAAAACCACAGTTTATATGTCGTACAGTCAACCCCTCCCCTTACCTTTCCTGAAGCCTCTTGGGGAAGAAGTCTCTTACAGAGGTTAGAGTAGCACGTTGGAGGCCCAGTGCAGGCTCGAGCTTCCATGTCCAGGGTCTTTACATACAAGCTTTTTTGTGGCGTGTTTGAGTATGAACTGCAAATACAAAAGAACACAATCAGTCAGAAGGGTTGTGTTTGTATTATCTGATGTTTGTTCCTTTAATATACTTTCTTAATTAATTAATCTCAGGGAATTTATTTCCTTAGCCACTTACAGGAAGTATCTTTCACAATTATAAATAAATTCACTGATTTCAGGGTATTTCAATTTTTTTACTTTTGCTTCCGACAAAAATTAGTTTATACAGAGAATCATTCAGAACCGACACTGGACATGACATTTTCCGAAAGTGTAACTGAACAGTTGATTGGCTGATGTGCTGCAGGAGTCTGTCTCAGCCTCAGGATGGTGGTGGTAAGGGAGTGGTTCAGGGGAACATTTTGTTCTCCTCCATCCCGGTTCAGCACAGCTCTTACACAGCCTAACACCCTCAACTTGCAATATCAAAGAAAGGGAAAAGGTTACCGGATCCACAACAACATTCTATTTACCCTTTCTTTGTGTGAAAACCAAGCATCAGGAAACTTCCCCCATTATAGTTGCCGGTAGAGACATATCAGAAAGGAGCAGCTATTGAGACCATGAATGTCAGATATAGTGAAGACTATATGGCAATTTAATAATCGATCATATTGTTGCATCACACAACTCAGTTTTTTGGAAGAACACAATGTGCTTGAACAAGAAACATTTTTTAAAATATATTCAGTGGTGTGTGTTCAAAGCTATAGAGCTAAAATTAAACATGGAATGAAGTCAAGGTTCAGTGTGTGAGATTTAGGTGAAAGGATCTATTGGCAGAAATTGAATATAAAATAATCCTAGTGATGTTTTCACTTGTGTGTTTCATGTTAATTGTAAAAATTGTGTTTGTCTTTACCCTAGAATGAGTCCTTTAAATTGAAGTACTTTATATTTACATCAGGAGCAGGTCTGGAAGGGGAGGGAGATGTGAGAGGTACTCAGCTGCAACATGCAACTTCACCACTAGATGTCACCAAACTCTAAAGAGTGAATCTTTAAATGTGCATGTTACTGAATCAGGAGTTGGACATGGATGTTTGATATGGAATCGGCCCCTCTGTGTAAATTGTGGCCCCTGATTTATGAAAATACTACACCAGCCTCTGGATTACAATCCCCCCAAGATAGCTTGTCCTTAATATCTAAGTCTTTACTTTTCTCTTCTGGACAGTCTAACAGGTCTTGACCATGACATGACAGACATATGCAGTCAGAAGTGACGACACACTGAGAGAAATGTTGGTCTAATGTTTAATGTGTGTTTTTACTTTGATGCAGAAAAACTTAGGTGGAGGTTTTCAGGTTGTTTGTCCGTTCCATTATTATGAAAACATGTCTGAAGAGGGACGTTCTTCAAATTCTGTTTTTACATCCAACACAAATATTCACTTCAAGGATGATTTGATTACAACTGAAAGAAGTTCAAGGTCATCAACTTGATAAATTAATGTTTAGCCTCATTAATGTCATGTTTGTTGGATAACTGGACACAAATGATGCCAAAAACCCCAGAAGAAAACAAGAAGTGCAGGGAAAAATACTAAATCAAAAAATTGAATTGCTTACACTCAGAAGGCTGGTAAGAGAACTCAGGTGATCCAAAAGCTGAAACTCAAAACAGAGACACAGGAGCTGGACTGAACAGAACCAAAGTGAAGAGACGACCTGACACAGACGGAATAACTGAACCCAGGTGAAACACATGAGGTCAGAGGCACACAATCACAAGAATGAAGTGACCAACAATGACACATGGGGGAAC